GGGACTTGAAGAAGGATCCCCCAAATCATACCTCCTGAGGCAATACAAGGCTTCAGAATTCTCTTCATTTGAGGGGGAGGGGGAGATCTTTAACGCATCCCAGGTCACAGAAATAAATCTGAACCCAGCTGGAACTCCAGCAGTGCTGTGGGGGTTGGGGGGAAGCGTACGGACATGCGGACCCATGTACACATACAACCCCACAAGCCAACATCTCTTCCAAATGAATATAGGAAAAGGAGACAGAAAAGACCTTTGACCTCCTAGTCAGACAGGAAGCAGCATCCTTTTCAGTGTTTACAAGAAGCAAAGACTCCCCACAGCTTCTTCTAACCCATGGCTTATTTGACTGCATTACGTGTTAGAAACTACCAGAAGGTTTGATTCTGTTGATGAAGGTGTGGCCAGAGCAACCTGAGATTTCAAAGCTCCCCAAGGCCAAGATCAGACCCCACTGTTGGGAATAGGATTGATCAGAAGAATTTGATTCCCTTCCATATTCTCAGGAAGCTCCTTGCTCCTGTGAGGTAGAAGAGTGACCGAGTATACAGCTGTGTCCCAGGACTTGATTTTTTTTTTAAAGTATGTTATTATTTTACTTATTTGTACACGTATGCACACATAGGACGTCAGTAGACCAGTTTCATGGATCAGTTCTCTGCATTCACCTTGTTGAGGGAAGATCTCATTTTGGCCTCCAGCACACTAGCTGGCCAGTCTTACATAGCATTGGAGGCACACACTGAAGTTAAGCAGACTTGCTCAGAAACGCTTGGTCTGTTGAGCCATCTCACCAGCCAGTGACTGACCTTTGGGTCCTCTACCTTGCCACCACCCTGAGAAGCTTTTAAAGGCCCTAATGTTAAAGGACTTTTAAAAACTACTCAAGACTGAGCCAGTCATGATCCCCAGGGACATCAGCATGTGTAAATACTATAAACCAGGTGATGCCATCTGGTTCTCAACCCAGGGTTGAAAATCAACATGTATCACAGAACTGGGCATTCCTGTGAGTCATAGACTGTGTCCTCCACTGTGCTTACCTTGGGAGTACATGAGCTTCCGCCCTGGGGCTAGAGGATCAGGGGAGTCAGGCTGTTAAGAGTCCCAGATAGTGCTGTCCTTGGCCACACTTGACCCAGACAAGCCACTCCCAGCCCTCCTCACTCACACATGGTAGCCCTGCAACCAGGCCATCGGGCAGCTAGAGTTTGAGAAGTCTCTGAGCCAGAGGTTAAGTGAACCATGTGTCTGTCCTAGAAGAGATTGTCACCCAGCAAGAGAAATAAGATATGCATATAAAACATAGCTGTACTTAGGTAATACAGAAACAAGGGTGTGCTGCGGAAGCAGGAAAAAGTAGATGCAGTATCATAATTTAAAAAAAAACTAAAAACCAAAAACCAAAACTAAGCCATAAGGTGGTTGTGCACACCTTTAATTCCAGCATAGGAGAGGCAGAGGAAGGCAGATCTCTTGAATTCAAGGCCAGCCTGGTCTACAGAATGAGTTCCAGTACAACCAAGGCTACACAGAGAAACCCTGTCTTGAAAAACCAAAACCAAAACAAAACAAAAAAATTAAAACACTATTGACTTATAACTTGAAGTGAGGTATCACGACTCCAAAAGTCTATCAAAGTGTGTCAGTCACTGTCAGTCCTGTAGTGTTGTCTTTCCCTTAGACATGTCATTAACCCCAAAGTTTTGTTGACATCAACCCCAGGGGACTTAGGATTGTCATCTTCATAGATAGGCAGACTAGGTGCAGGGCCTGCAGCTAAGGGACTATAAAGGTCATCTTGTCAGCCAGCCTGTCTTGCGGCTGAGAGGAATAATGTACTCTGCCCAAGTCTCACAGCAAGCAAGGCAGGGGTCAGCCAGGGCTGGAGGCCAAATGAGCTGATGAATGACTCTCTGGCCCTGACCCCATCCACCAAGAACACTACATGAGACAGCCTTTTCTCACCCAGAATCCCTCCATTAGCCTGCTTCTAATGTCCCCAGGCATCTTCTCTATGACTGGAAAGTTCCCAGGCAGGAGGAACGTGGTATATTTTCCCATTCACAGATAGCCAACCTGTGGCTCCCAGCCCGTCTGGGATTTGATCAGCAAAACATCTCTCCCCTCTGTGCTGGATTCATTGCTAACATAGCGTGTCCACTTGGGCAGAGATAAACAGAATGTGTGTTGTTATTTTGAGCAATGGAAATTTTGCTTTAAGAATGGCAACAAGAAAAGACATAGTGAAGGGTTACAGATCACTACTACCTGTATGGAACTCAAGTATGTCCCGATGTCCCTGTGGCCATGGAACCATGATGTCTACTGTAGAGAAAGCAGAACAGGCCCTATCTAGAAAGAGTTCTGCCTTGCATACCACGGAGCTGATAGCTGGGGAAAGGTACTTCCATTATACTGGCTCGCTCTCAGACATTGATCTGAGCACTTTGTATATGTGAACTGTGTACTAGTATAGCTAGCCCTTGTGCACAGAAGGTTAAGCGGCTTACCTGCAGTCACAGTTGGCTGGGCCAAGTTAGGCACCTACAATGATATACCTTAATCCCTGTAGCCAGTATGACAGTTCTTTGGTTTCTAGAACTCTCAACCTACCCCAACGCATACCTACCTCCACCATAAACCGCCTCCCCAAGACATACTCCCCCACACAAACATGTATACCCAATGCAAACACAACACGTATTCCCATGAAATATATCTATCACGAACACAGCACATCTTTCTGCATCTGGGTGGCACACTCACAAGTCCATCCACCAGGTCCCGTGGGGAACCTGTTGGAGTGAAGGGTGACCTCTAGAGGTGGATAGCCTGCCAGAACAGAAGGGGGCTGGTACAGAGCAGCAGGAATGAGTCATGCTTAGTTCAAGACTCGGGGTGGGTGGTAGAAGTGTGTCTCTGGTGTCTCAGAAGGAAGAACTGACAGCCTGAGGTGACAACACAGGGGCTGCAGTTTGCACACACAGAGTGGCTCCCTCTGCAGCCACCTCTGATAACCTCTGCCTCTTAGTTCACCTCAGTGCCTGAGGAAACTTCCATCGCAGGCAGAGTACTCCATCTCCAGGAGAAGCCTTTATCTGAGGTGCAGGATAATGGATTTCCTTTTTTTTTTTTTTTTTGTTCTTCCTCTTTCTCTCAACCTTCTTGTCCAAACTGCTTAACTCTAGAAAATAAACTCTTTTTTTTTTTTTTAAACAAATCTTACCGACTATACTCCCTTCCTCCAACTGGCATCTTCTCACGCTCCCAAGGAAACCTCCTATGTTGTGTCTAGTGAAAGAATGCACAAAAGAATAACCTTCCTCTCCCCTGCTGCTTCTTCATTGTGAGCATCCCTTAAGCCCCGCTCTGGGCCTGCAGCAGGAGGCTGGGTGAACAGAGGTTGGGACAAAGAGAAATAACCTGACTTCTTCCTTATTTTCCTTCAGCACTTTCCACCAACACCATCTTCAGAAATCTAGAGCCTGCATGGAAGAGCTTGGGAGAGGACTAGGTGGGGAGTCCCATCCCGGGCTCCCTCTGGGAAGGGAGCAGCGAGGTCTTCATGGGCGCTGGGAGACTCATTCCCAGCCTAGGAGAACCGTGTACAATTATTTCACCTGGATCTTTTTTTTCCCCTCCAACAGCCCTATTACCATATTTAAATGCAAGTATGTCTCTTTTCATTGGCATTTTAAGTAGCTTAGCCTGACCTTTTTAGAGTAGCTCTTTGCCTTTTGAACGTCTTGCCCTCCGTAGAACCACGTAGCTCGGACCATAGCCTTAGAGTTTAGTGGGCTTCTAGTTTGCTCTGTGTGGAGGATGCTCCTCCTTTCTTTGCTCCTCTGCTCCCTGCTCTTCCGGTGCATGTCTTGGTCCCTTGTCCTGTAGAAGTGCCTTACCAGACAGGCTCTGTGGCTAAAGTCAAGCAGCTCTTTGGGGGCTGTTGGGTTTTCAGGGGCTTCTGGTGAATCTTTTTTTTTAAAGTAGCCCCTGGAAGTGGGTCTTGGGGTCAGGCTGCAAATGTCTTCCTGGTGGCAGAAGATATTTGTCTTTATGTATGTGGAAGTATGTCTGTATATTGTCCAGTGTGTGACTATGTATGTCAAGCTAGTGGTCAGAGTAGCCACTAGGAGAGAGGAACGAATTCGGCCTACCTTTTCTTTCATAGGGACATTTTGCAGCTATATGGTCAGCCTCGGCTTTATTCCTGCCTGACCTATCTGTACTAGACAGTACTCAACCCCGCTGGGGGAGCCTCCAGACTGGCTTCCTCTGACTGTGGCCTCGTGCACTGGAGTTACATCAGAGTTCCCTGTCATTGCGTGGGATGGGCTGGGATAGTCTGTACCTGACACATCCAAGCCCTGGGTTCCATCCCTAACACCACAGAGTAATATTATTATAACTCTGGGAAGACTGAAACACAGAACAGGATCATGTAGAACCACAGGGCTCAGCCCAGGTAGAGCCCCTCAGCCCTCTGACGTCTGGCATCATGTGTATACTCAACTGGAAACACCCTCATGCTTTGCCCTTAGCCACGGGCCATGGCACTGCTGACAGGAAGTTTGACCAATCTAGAGCTCCGATGACCAGATCTTTGGAGAACTTTTGGGAGTGAAACCATCTCTAGGTCATGGCACCTCTTCTATGAAGAAGCCAGCCCCAAGTGCTTCCTGCCTTGGAGCTCCTGCTGACCCCACCACCAGGATCCCTGTACAGTGTAGCATCGTCATGTCAGTACAGGGTCAACAGAGGCCTCAACTCAATTCTCAAAGACAGAGGCCCTCCTCATAGTTGAGTTACTGTGGTGTGTTTCCTAGAATGCATTTCTGGGGAGCAGATAGACATCTAAAGATTCTGTGCCTTCCAGAAGCCTGAGAGCCACTGATCTGTATCTCCCCAAAGCTGTCTGTGAAGCCCTTCCCAGCTGTCTTTTGTGTGAGCTGGGGTCCTCAGTGGCACTTTCTGATTCCACTCCTTTCTCTCCCCAGGCTTCCCAGCAGCGGCTTATGGACCAGTGGCAGCAGCAGCTGTGGCAGCGGCTCGAGGATCAGGTAGGAAGGTGTGCGGGGCAGGCGGTCCCCAGGCATGCCTCGTATGCAGGGGAAGGTAAAAGCCCTGCCAGTCTGTGTGGCTGCGTCTGTCCAGCACTCCTCTCCCCATGGCCCAGGGGAGGGGGCGGGAACAGGGAGGCATCACCAAGGCCCACCCACCCAGGGCAGTCCCTGCAGGAGTCTGTCACAGTTAGGGGACTGCAAACCCTAGGCAGAATTGTGCTTCTATACACAAAGAAAACCTACCTTTCCCTTTGGCTTTGGACCGCCCTGTCTCTCTAAGCCAAGCTCCCAGAAATTCTGGTCACTGATGTCCTTGGCTCTGGCAGGTTTAGAAGTTCCCTTCTTTGGGTCTGACCAGGCCAAAAAGGTAGAAAGTAGACTCCCTCTCCTGCCAAGCCTGGCAGGTGGGCTTTTTACTCTGGCTCAACTCCCAGAGCCCTTGAAGCCAGATATGAACCAATCCTTGAGGGAGGCAAAGGAATGATGCCTGCTGTGGCCTAAGTCCCTGTTGTCCCAGACTCACTTCTGAGTCAAGTAGCCACCAAAGAGATTGGAACTTTCTTTCCCATGACCTTTGGCCTTTTAAAAGATCTGGAGCTCTCTAGTGGCCAGAGCTATAAGGTCCAGCCAGAACTGGGGTATGTCACCCCACCATGAGTGCCAAGGGCTTCCTGCCGTGCACTGGGCACCCCTGTTGACAGCTGCTCTCCCTCCACTGATCAGCTGGCCTGACACTCTGCCCCCTCAGGCAGGGCTCTGGAGCACTAATTTCACAGAACTAGTCTCTGAAGAGAGTGGGGCAGGGTTGGGTGCTGGTGAAGTCACCAGAAAATGGATCGTTAAAGGCCCAGAGGGCAAATGCCAAAAACCCAAACTGGTACAGTGAGGCTCATTAGAAAATGTCAGAGAAAATCCGTTCCATGCAAACTGGCACTGCCTCCAAGCTACAAAGGATTCCCTCCCCAAAGATACCCACTGGAGTTTTGGGGGTGGCCCAGGTAGGACATTAATTGAGGTGGGGGCTGCTGAGGGGCAGTTTGCCAGAGAGCTTGTGATTGGCAGGCAGGCTGGGAAGCCCAGATAGCTGGGCACTGTCAGCTTCTGCCCACTCTAGTCTCTAAAGGTCCCACTTGCCCTCTGGCCAGTGTCCCTTGGTGTTCCCCATTCCCAGGCCCTAAGACAGGTGCACAGTTGCATCATGTCTTCCTGTTTCTAGTTTTGGGGGTTTTATTATGAATGCTTTGGGAGAATGAGAAGAAAAAAAAACAAAAAACAAAAACAAAAAGCCTCATTCCTACCTGTGCCTGGGAGGGGAGAAAGATCAAAAGAACAGTCTTGAAATTTGTGAGTGTTGTTTGTTTTCTCCGATCAGTTTCTTTCTTTTGATAACTTGGATTATGAAACTAAACTTTAACCCGAAATTAATCCTGCCTCTCTCCCCACCCCACCCCAATCCCCTTGACTTCATGGCAAGTTTAAAGGGCAGTATGGGATTCTTTGTGAGTCTGAGAGCCGTCTCCCCGGGCTGTGCCCCCTTCTGCCACTCTGCCCATGCATAGACCCCTCCCCCTCCCCAGCCAGGTGGGAGCCCCTCTCACCCATCCCTCTAACTCCTAACCCTCAAGGTCATCTCCAACCACACATTTTGTTTCCCGGATCAGTGGTGTTTTATTTGTAGCCATTTCCATCGGGAGCCAAATCTCCCACAGGCCATCAAGGTCAGCCATGTTCATCGCTGCACTGTTAGTGAATCGTATTCAGGAGGACGCTCCCCAAACCCCTGCCCACCCCAGCCTGGGTTACTACATGGAGTAAATCCTCAGCTTGAGGTACCCACCCAAGGAGAAACCCCCAGCACTGCCTAGTGGCTGTAGGCTTGGGTTGTGTCCACCATAGAGAGAACGTGGCCCGATCTGTTTATGGAGACCAGGAAGCCCAGCCCAGACCCCCATCTTTGGACTTGGACCAAAACTGTCAAGTTGGGGAAGGGAACTCTGCCTTTTTCTTTTAACATATTTTGGCCAGTAGGTAGACAGTCACCTTCTTTTCTCTAGAATTTAACCCAAACTCTGAGCTTGGAAGGTTGGCCAGTTAATATACCTTTGGTTGGCCCTTCATTGACAAATACTCTATTGTGAATTGAGAAAAGCCATACATCAGTGTATGTATTACACCAGGCTCCATAGGGTTCCCAGGCACTTAATGACCCAGATTTCCCTGGACCAGCTCCTCGAACCTTGCCTTGCCCTATTCCCAGGTCTTCCCTAAAAGCTAAGGATGTCCCTGCCCCAGCCTCCTGAGCAAGCATCCTGCATGAGGAGTCCTTACAAACTCCTTAGAATCCATTGATTATCTTCCTGGAGCCTGGTACCATGCCACAGCTGACAATGACTATAGACTCTAGGAAATGTGTCTCTGCTTCCAGGGACTCCTGGACTTGGGTTAGGGATTAGACGTCTTACGGAAGGCAGCTTTTTTAGTCATTTTTTTTATCTAGCCCCACCGATTTAGTTCTCCCACTCCCCCATCTCTTTGTTTTGACTCCCCCCCTCCCGCCCCATGTTAGGAAGCACCTGTTGAGGGCCATGGGGGTGGGAAGCAGCTTGGATCTTTCTCAGGTTGGCAACTTGTATCCGTCAGGGCTGTGGTATTGAGGCAGTCAAGGGGGAAGGCTTTGAGTTTCTGGCTCAGCCTATTCCTCTGGGCTAGCCTACTACCTACCTTTTCTTTACTTCCCCCAGAACCTGAGGTGAGCAGGGCACAGGCCCGGCGGGGGACCTCCCTGCCGACTCCTAGATAACTTCACTATCAGTGGTCACTTTCCTTTCACGTTCACCTGGTAGTCTGAAACCTCATCTTTTCTTGTGCTCAGTCGAGAGTTTGTTTATTTTGATTGTGCTCATCCAGTTCCAGCGGCACCACCCCCATCACGTCCCATCCAAACATAAATCCGGTTGGACAGTTGATACCTCCTCCCCCGCCCCCAACCTGAGGAAAAAAAAATTGGTACCAATTTTCAGGGTACTTCTATTTTGGGGTGACCTCATTGGTGGGTCTGTGTATTACTCTTAGAACTTGCAGAGCACCCTTCCCCTGGTATCACCCACCCTCCAGCCCCAGCCAGGACCCCTTACTGTACTTTATACTTGCCAGCTTTATTCCAGTCTAGTGACGTAAGCTCCTGACGGTGGTGGTGAGTGTGAGCAGTCATGTTTCTGTTGTCTTTTCTCTTGCTTGGTTGGGGCTGCGGTGAGAGAGTGTCTGAGGGATACTTTCCCGCCTCTCTTACACTAGGACCTGCACACGTCCTCTCAGACACTCTTCTGAGCACGCTCAGCAGGAAGGTTTGTCCACACCTGTTAACCCTCTCTCAGTGTCCAGCTTCCTGTTAGTACCAGCTGGTTTGCATGTTTTGCTTGTTCAGATGAAACAGTTCAAGAAACAAACTCATATCCAACTCTCGAGAAATGTCTCCTTTTTTTGTACACTTTACGTTTTTCTATTTTTTTTTTATCAGTTACAACTCCAAAACACCTGTTGTCTAGTAAAACATTTCACACCTCCCTTGCCTGTTCTTAGATTGTATGTATCTGTGGGACTGAACTAAATGCATGCACTGTAGTAGATGTCCTGGTAGCTGTAGCTGTAGTTGTAGAACATGCATTGTTGAGTTGATATTACAGGGTCTCCGAAGGCGCGGCCCAACACCGCTGTCTGAGGGTAGCATGGGGACCAGGAAGAGAAGGGGTTCCATGTTTTCAATGTCGCCAAGGGCTTGGATCCATGTTCTCGCCATCAGCCACCACCACCTCTCCTCACGCTCTCCACTGGGTCACCACCCTCAGCTCTAGCCTGCCCAACTCGATCCGTGTTCACCATAGCGAAAGCAAGGGGAGCCAGAATCCGAAGAAGTCATCCTGTTCTTCTGAGTTATCTTTCCCACACTGTTCTTGACCAAAGCCACAGAATCTGTTCTTGTTTTTAAGGCCATCAGCCAGGCTCCTCTCAGCCCAGCCTCCTCTTGAGCTCTTCAGGGCCACAGGTCCCTATGAAAAGATCAGCCTATGTCATCTACTCCTGTGGGGGGAGGGAGGTAAGGTGTGGTAAGGAAGAGACCAAGAGCTTCAACCCCTGCACGTAAAGGGTACATTCGACTCTGATAGATGCTGACACTGGCTCTTATGAGTGGTGACGGTGAAAGGGGCCAGCAGCATGAGTGATGGCCCGGCATCCCTCGTGGTGGTGACTGCCACAGCTTCTCAGGGAAGAGAGAAACATGATAGGCCCGAGACAGCCACACTTCAGCCACTGTCCCCTGTAGAACTCCCTAGAAATGTTTTTCTGGAGGGAGCCTTTGTCTTCCACTTGGGGCATGTGTGGGCAAGCATCTTTGGACACACTATCTTTTCTGCATGTACAACAAGCCATAAGGGAGTACCAGAGACCTCAGAGCTTTTGTCCCTAACTTTCTAAGACCATATGAAGTAAGGACAGTACTTACTATGCAGAATCTGCATGCCAAGTGAAGGTGGACAGTGGCTCTGACCAAACTCTACAGTCAGATGGGGGCATAGGGTAAAATATGCAGAATACAAGTTTTGTATTATGGGACACAGAATTCAGGAAAAAGGTCACAGAGCCCATAATGTCTTCAAAAGGCTATGTCGTGCTAGAATGAAATAGAAGGCCCTTGGGAGGGGGGGGGAGTTGGGGGAGCTGTGATGCTCTGGCAGAGTTAGAACACGAAAGAACCAAGCATGCGCCAGGCCAGACAGAATGAGGACACAAAGGCTCCAGGTGGAAAAGTCTGGGAGGAGCCATCCTTCCAGCAAGGTCTCCCTGGGGACAGGGGAGGCAGGCAGCAGAAAATGGCTGGGACTAGGCTTCAATGCTGTTGCTGCTGCTGCTGCAAACTGACCTAGAGCTAGCAAGGAAGAGCAGCAAATGGGAGCAGAAACCGAGAGCAGAACCCCAGCCTCCTAACCTGCATCCTGCAT